TGAGGAGCTATTTGGGTCCTGCTTGTGTCACTGATTCCAGACTCCTCTTGCTGTTTCTCTCTCATCCCCAGCCCCCCTCTGACCACTTTTCTGATCACTTGTTTGTGGACCAGATGGAACATGGAGTGAGCAAAAGTTGGGGGATCCCTCTTCCATGATTAATATGCTTTTGTTCTATCTCCAAAGTCAGCATCTCACTGACAATGGGAAGCTGGTGATTAATAAAAATCATGCCTGTCTCCTGAAAGTACAGTTAACATTTATATTAATTGAAACAGTCACTTGGAGACACTTGAAGAAGTGGGCAATTTTGTTGCTTTGCATGACAATGAGTAGAGCATGGGTTTATAAGATGCTGCTCAACAATTAATATAAATGTATATGAAGATGGTCCTTTTGTAGGGTGGGGAAGGGAGAGGTGGGTGGGTTGGCCATGGCTGCTGTGCTCTGCTGCAGCCTGAGAATCAAAGTGGAGACTAACCTGAGGCAGAGACACTGAGAGTACCGTGAAGAAGATGTACATGGTGAGCCGTACAGGGGCCTTGGGTGGTGATCTGTGTAGCTCTTCTGCATGGGCAGGGTAGGGAAACATCAAGAAGTCAATACAGACTATGAATTGCAAGTTCCTTGAGTCACTGAATTTTCCTCTTTTGAACCTCCTTCCTTGACTGTCCCTAGCGTTCAGTGATGAGTAGCTCAGGTGGGGGCATCTCACAGGGAACAGAACTCAGGCTTTGGACTCCGGGCTTCTCTTAGTTGCCTTTATTAGCTGTTTCTACTTGGACAACTGATGTAAATTCTTTGTGCTTCAGGTCCCTTGCCCGTGAAACAAGAGATGAGGATGTAGGGACTGGAGATGTGGGGAAAATGGTTGCTGTTAAAAATGGCAACTAACACTCAATAAGGGTTTCTTTAGAGTGGGGAGAAAAGGGAAGGAAAAGGAAAAACTCAGTGTATGTTCAAAGGAGAAGGACAGTCAGACAAAGACCACACCTCAATTTTTGAGTTTCCAGTGACTGCACCACTTCCAGCCTGCCTTTCTTGGCCAGGCACTAGTGATGCCTCAGGCTGGGATCGCTTTAAGCACCAGATCTGGGCTCGCTCTCTAGAGGCTGATTTTAGGGGCTCTGGCGTGGGGAGGTCTGCATTTAGGTGCACATTCAGGGCACCGGGGTTGCACAGGTGTGACCTTATAGCATACCTCCCACATGCCCAGGGGTCATGGAAGAACGAGGGGTGTGAAACATGTAGGGGCACAATGTAAGGAGGTGCTCTCTCCTCTGGGCCCGAGGCCCCCCAGTGAGGACACCCAAAGCCCCCTCCTTGGCACACACAAGTGTGGTTATCATTTGTTACAAGCTTCTCACAGGAGAATCTTTGCACACATACGACCCAGGATACTAATGTCTAAACTTTATGGAGCCCTTCCTATTTATTCAACTCATTTAAGCAACTTGAAGACAAATTCTTCTAGGTTCAACACTGACTGATGTTGAGAACTTCAGGCAAATGATCTAACTCTTCTGTGCCCTGCTTGCCTCATCTGTAAAGTGGAAATGACAGCAGTGGGGCTTACATGAGTTCACGCATGTGAAGGGCTCAGAATGGTACTTGACACTCTCAAATGCTCAGTACAGCTAGCTGCCTTTATTTCAACCCACTTCCTTTCTTAGGTCCAAGTTTCCAACTCTGATACTTAGGATTATTAGGTGATTCCCTATAGCGTGTTAGAAAATGACACTTCAGGGAAGGGAAGGAGCTGAAGTTTATTGTCCATATAGCACGTGGCAGGTAGTATCTGGAGCTTTGCCTATGCTAGCTCATTTCCTTCTTGCAAGAGGGAAGGCTGATTTTTCTGATGAGGAGCTCAGTTTTTGATAAGTTAACCAAACCTTCCAGACCTCAGTTTGTAGACCCAGAGGCACGGAAGGGCAGAGAACCACCCAAGGTCACGGTCACCTGCCCATGTATTTGGTTTTGCTGGCCAGACTAATTCACTAGGTCACACTTTAGAAAAAGGATCTGTTGAAAGAGACTGGGCAGCAGGAAACTGGTTGGAGGAGTGTGGGGGAGTATTTCCCAGCTTCACTTAAATTATACCCCTTTTGCAAACTCCTTCTTATCTAAGACAGGTGACCTGTCTTTCCAGCAGGATTTAGGCAAAGTCTTCAGCCTGAGTGAAAATCAGACACTTGTTTGCACAAGTGTCCGTGTGTGTGTGTGTGTGTGTGTGTGTGTATGTGTGTGAAAGAGAGAGAGAGGTGAGTCATTAAAGAAGTGGTTCAGCTAAATAAAGGATCTCATTATGTGTGCTATTTTTATTCCTCAAATGCCTGCCTTCCTCTCCCCCCTTGAGGTTCCTACTGAAATCTGACAATCAGGGTTGATCTTCACTGTCAGCTTCCATTAGGCAAATCAAGCAGGAAAAAAGGGAGCGCGAGTCTGGCCTTGGCAGGGAGCTGATTCAGCAGTGATAATCTGCTTGAGCGGGTGGGGGCCAGCAACCAAAGGGTTTAATTAGTCAGCCGAGGCGCTGCCTCCACCTCCGCCCGGCTTCCCCTTCCCTTCACCCACCAGCCTCTGGGATGAGTCTTCTTCCCTGCTTCTGTGCCTCTGAGTCCTGGGAAAGCATCTGAAACAATGCACACCCGGCCGGGCCCTGGTTTTTGCTGCCTCTTTCCAGGGCATTTCCTCTGAGGAAACCTCCCTCCACCTCTTGGCTTACCCACTATGAGCAAGACTTGACACCTCCCGGGAAAATGAGGCCGCTGTGGGACCAAAGCCGTGGTGATTCTTTCCCAGAGAACTAAAAGGCTTCCCGTCTCCCTCCCTGACCCTGTCTTCCTCCCATCTCAGGGACTCATTAGTCATGCAGTCATTCATTCAAAAATAAAATCACCATGTTAATAAGGGGGGAAGCATTCGGGCTGAATTGTGGGGAGGATTCAGAGATGGGGTTTCTTCCCCCAGCGAGTGCAGGATCTAGAAGGAGATGAGGAAAGTTAAGAGGAGAAGAGAACAGGAGACAGGTAGTTGTAGTCTAGAAAAATTAACTGGGGCAAATGGACCACAGACAAAGTACAAGATGGAAATAATATGTGCAATAAGGTTAAGAGCTCTGGGAGTGCCGGGAGTTTGGAGGAGGATGACCCACTTCCAGAAGAGAACACTTTGGAAGGTGTCCTTGGAACTGGGTTTTGAAGGTTGAGTAAAATATAATCAGGAAGAGAGGAGAACTGCTGATCTCCGTGGGCAGGGCTCCCTCAGTATCAGCTCAGAGCATCTCACCCACCATCCTGGAGGTCGCTGAAGCTCTCCAGTTACAGCTCCTCCCCTGAGCTCTGCCCACCTCCCGCCTTCCAGCCTCAGCCTCTCCTGCCTCTGCAACTGCTCCCGTGTCCCAGCTGGACACTGCCATTCTGTCCGTTCCCCCAGTGCTTGGTCACATGAGGGATGCCACCACGAGACAGGGCCGCTGTCAGTTCTACATGCTTCTTGTAGGTCCTCTGTGCCGATTACCCACCCTGAGGCTGGGAATGGTGCTCACCACTGTCTCCTTTTAGTCCTACATCTTATGGCTTGGTTCACTCAGTTCTCTGGAGCAGCCTGAGTTTCCTAGAGTCATACAGTCCCTCTCTTTAAGAATTTGGATCAATTCCCTCAAGATGAGGTTCAAAGATGATAAATGCGAAACCAGCCTGAAAAGTCTTCTGCCT